TTGGGTGCGATTTAAAGAAGATGAATTAGGTTAAGTAATTGGACAGTGAGAAGGACTGGCCATGTGATTTTCATCTTTATTGACTTAACTGTGGGGACAGAAGAAGATGAAATATTTTGGGCAGTGAAAATGCAACCTGTGCCTTGAAAGCTGGCCAAGGCTTCAGACCCAAATGGCTCCAGCCCACCTACAAGATGGTGCGCGCAGTAAACCTGGAGTGGTTAAATGGATGACGTACCAGAGTAACTGGGTCATGAGTATCAAATAACAGTTCTATAATCCCCAGAATATTAAACAGAGCTGTGGCTTTATTTATTTACCAATGAATTGCAGGAGATGGTGAGGCATCTGTGGTTTGGATAAAAATACACCGTTTCTTTTTCTTATGCTGCTTCTAATATCCCACATCCATTAGACTTTGGCTTGAGCACGCAATTGCTTGAGGCTTCCAAAGTTGCTAGAGTGGAAAAAAAAATATTCTACTCATGGAGCTACAGAGGTGGGTGGTGGCAAAACAGGCCCAGAACACCCCGCAAAGGAGGTTCCCCAGCTTTCTGTTCCTAGATATTTCCCATGGCCACCCCTTGAGGATCTCTTCAGTAACCAGATGTTGGAAGTATTTTTTCAGAATTACAAGAACTTGAAATGGGAATTAACTTTGTCTCTTCTCTTTTACCTTTGTCTGGCCTCCTACAGCCTAGTGGGTTTTCTAAATAACACACATAGTTAAAGAAGGCTTAGTGGGAAAAAAAATGTTTCCAGGATTAGATAAAGTTAGGGCTCTTCTAAATTGATAAGTATACATTTAAGTATAAATGGCATTCGTTAATTCAACTTGCCTCAATTTTCAACCTTTCATTTCCTGGCTTCTTTCTTCCTAGCTGTGTTTCTACGCCAGGTGGAGAGATGGCCCCAGAACCTCGTGTCTCCTTGTCTGTCAGCCTGGAACATTTTCCTGTATTTAAGCTTTTTCTTTCTGATTGTTGCTGAGTCTAGTGACCAGTTAATAGACTCCTTCTGGTTGTTTTTGCACCCTTTCAAATTATATCAGATCTCATTTCTGTTTCTGCAAACAGTTTTCCCTTTGCTTTTCAGCCTCCACTAACACCCCTTCTTTTCTCTTACACATACACACACACACACAGAGAGAGAGAGAGAGAGAGAGAAGTCAGCATTAGTAGGAACATGCCCTGCCTTAAGCTGATATTTCTGAATTCCCATTTTAAGGCTTTTACTCCCTGACCCTATTGCTCTTTCTTTTGCCCTGGCACTTCTAAAACTATTTGGTATTTGGTAATTTCTTACATGCACAATGGAACAGAAAGAATGTGTGCATGAGGTAGAGGGGTCCCACTGCCACTGATCTGGCATGATTTGCAGTCTATCCTGGAAAGCATGGCCTGACAGTCAAGGATGTGTGCTGTTTGTACCAGGTACAGCTAGAGGCATAGACAATACATGTAAGAGATCTCACTCCAAGCAGCAGGGCACCTGTCAGGGATATAAATATTGCAACAACATAGCTCCATGATTTTTATGATTATTTTGAATTTTTTTTGTGGCTGTCTCTATCAAGCCCCGAGTAGCACTGACTTGTTTAACACTATGTGAATATATGACTAGATAAGGAAGCTAAAATGAAATTTGTCATCCTGCACAGATATAATGACACTTTCATACCAAAGTGATGACTGTTTTTTAAAAACACCTACACAAATAGAGATAGAAGTCATTTTCTCTTTTTTCTTCTATTCCTCACCTGAAAAATGTTCTGGTTTTTGTGACAGAGAGATAGTTATTCCAAATTTAAAAATCGAGGCTAGAAGGATAACTTTATATAACTGAAAAGAGAATTCTTCTTTTTAAGCTTGTGCTAAAGAAATAATGATATATTTTTTTCTGCCTCCAAAATAAAAATGTTTGAACGTTGCTTAGTTGTATTGAATACCTCAAGTGCTTACTCTGGTTTATTTTATTTCTTATTCTAGGTACAGATTTTTTTCTTTAATGTCTTCACTGTTTATACAGAAACATCCAATTAAAGAGAAAAAAATAAAACACCTGCCTTTAAGGCCTAGGTGAAAATTTCTTTGGCAAACATGGGCTCTGACCTGTAGCCATGAGAACAGAAGAGCTGTCCCTAGCCGAGCAGAGCTTCCTTTGCACCTGTGCTGGAAACAGAACACAGGTGCTGAGGGCAGAAGAGGAGCACTGAGCTTGGGATACAGACCCAGGGTGGGCGGGGCAAGGAAAGAGGGAAATGGTACTTTCTTAAAGACACAGTGCACCTTAATAAATGTAACCCTGCCTCTCAACTACTGAGCACCACACGCTGCCCTTTCCAGGAAGAACACAACTGTATTGCCTACTTGTGAACACAGAGTACAAAGGAACATCCAAAATTGCCTCTCTACCATTCCAATTTGGTCTCCCTTCAGTCCAAACAGAGTTGGCCTTCAGGTAGGGGAACCTTAAAGTCCCCTCTGTCTTGGTCTCTCTCCTATTTCCATTTTCTGTCTCCCAGACACACCCCCACGGGACCCTCCATCCAACCTTCCAGGATCCTACATGGTTAGATCCAGAGAAAGTGTTTTTCTGTCTATGCTTCAATTCTAATTTGGGTGACCAACATCGGTGGTTGCAGGCACTCGTAAGACTGACAAGCCATGCTTCACGAGCCCTGTCTCTTCATGTGGTACAATTTAGATGCTAAAATTTCCTTTTCCCACCAGGTGTGGGAATAAGAAGTATCTGAGAGGGAAAGGGAAGAGAGAAACCTCACTGTCACTTTAGGCTTTAACTGACAATCCAACAGCCATGAATTTGGGCTATTATTTTTAAAATTCAAATGCTCAATCTAGTTGAGCATTCTTAGGATCTTGGTTTCATGGAAGAGCCTTTTCGTGAGTCTATTTTCTTTGCACTTTTTGACATCCACCTTTTCACCAAAAAGCTACATCTCTTCCTTTCTTTGCTTAGAAAGAAGAAGCGGACAGAGTTAAAAGAGATGAAATCGTTAGCTACAATCCCTATCATAAGTGATTTGCAGAATCGGGGTTAGAATTTAGAATCCCTGGTGTGTGCAAGGCATTAGCCCAAGCAACCCTAATTTCAGACAGATCCCTTCAAATATAACTAAATTTTATGCTAATTCTCATGGCATCTATTTTGTGAACAGCCCAAGAAGATAAGGAAAAGTCCTTGACCCACTTAACAAGCCCAACTAACTGATGAAAATAGTGGTTGATGCCTTATAATCTGTCCTGTGTAGAACTGAACGTTTCTAAGGCGAGTAACCAAATGTAATTGAACCCTGAGTATTAACTCCAGCTCAGAAAAGCAGGTTTGACCCAGGGCTGAAAAAGCTGGTTTGGAGCAAGAGGGATGCCGGTGCCTTTGCCTGAGGAGCTGCACCAAAGCAGCAGCAGGTAGAACGTGCGTATCTCCGAGTGTGGGTTGCTGGTTGCCGTGAGTTGCAGGGGACCTCAAACTACGGCCTGCGGGCCACATGCAGCCCACCGAGGACATTTATCCAGCCCTCTGGGTGTTTTTGCTGCCGCTGCCTGTCCTGCTCAGCAGCCGACTCGTCCCGGGCCCACAGTGCACATGTGTGGAATGTGCGCCACACTCTCCAGCGACCCTCCAACAGTCTGAGGGACAGTGAACTGGCCCCCTGCTTAAAAAGTTTGAGGACCCCTGGACTCTATAGCAACCCTTCACGTGGTCTGCATGCAGTTTGATGGCTTCAGAAGAAATGTAAAGAAATGATTTTTTAACAGACATTGCCAAATTTGAAAGATATGATTAATGATTATATTCAGAAGACTCTACTTATTCTGTAACACAAGGACTGCTATGGCCTCTCCTCCCTGCCAGTTCATTCAATGAACAGAGTGTAGTTTATCGTGAGGAACTCATTCGCACTGCATTTGCATATTTTTGTTTACATTTGTTAGGTTTCCACGTTTTGTTGTTACTTTTCTAAGGTGTCATATTCTTGACTCACAGCAATGGATCGGTGGCTTGAAAGTTGTTTGTTAACTGAAGTATGAAAGTAGTGATGAAAATAGCAAAAATACCACAACTTTGAATAACATTGTAAATATAAATAGTGAACAGGGCTCGGATGCGAATATAGAATGTGATTCTGCATGTGCCAAGACAACAGAGTTTATAAATATGATAAATTTTCACAAGCTGCAAAAAGAAAAGTGCAAATAAGAACAATGGATGTCTAAAAGTTTGATTTTGTTGGACCAGGCTTTTGTTTTTTTCTTAAGATTTTAGTATTTTGTCTGCTTTGACACTTAGTCAAATAGTAGCATGGAACCACCAATTTTCAAATCATTTTGAAGTATAATCCCCACACTAGAGATTTTATCAAATTTTTTTAGAATAACAATAAAACCATGTTTTCCAGTATTCAATGGATACATTTTGTTTCTGAAGGCTGACAAAAGGCCATTCAGAGTTGATTTCCTTGTTGGGAAAAAAAAATCAAAACAAAACAAAAAACAAAACCCTGTTCCAGTCACAATATGATGAGAAGCTTATAAAACTTAACGACAAATATTATGTTTGGAGAGGAAGTAGTATGAGTTTCTAGAAAAATCTTCTTATCAAAGGACACTAATGGATGTCAATGGCATAATAGCAGCTATTTTGCTTTATAGCTACTTGAGACCATAGGTGTGCAGAATTAGCTCTTGCCTAATAAGCAAAAGATATACAAGAAAATAGAGCAAAAATGTATGGAGATCATTCTTTGTACTCTGTGCTTTAGGTGTTCTATCTCTTTTAATCAGCCCCCAAATCCTATGAAGTATACACTATTCTTATCTTTACTTGACAGCTAAGAAAGTCATAGCTTGGAGGAGAAGGTTAGAAGTCAAGTGGAAATGCTTGACTGTCCAGGAACCAACTCCTGAGCCTATGCATCATGCTCCACTGCTTATGCAGGAGAAAATCTTGATGACTTTTTCATTTATCTTTAAATAATATGCTAACAGGACAAAATTATTTAATCAGAATGGCTTTGCAAAGGTGCACTGGGATCAGTACTGATGGAAAAAAATACATAGAAAAAGTCTCAATTTTTAAGTGTACTTTTCAGCTTGGGTTTCCTGGGAAGGACTCTTTGAGAGGAAAATTATCATTCAAGATATCTATTAGTGCTCGATATCTATTTGAGGGTTGATATCTATGACATGGGAGAGAAAGAAGCAGCACTGCACAAAGGGAGAAGTTCAGCAGTGCTGCTGAAGGCCTCGCCGACTTCTTGGAGATCTCTGGAGCAGGGACAGTCTTTCAGAATTGTCCTAAGTTTGAGCAAAGGGGCTGGGTCTTTACAGCCCTGTGAGATCATGCATCGGCTGTGAGCTGCTCTTGGGAGGAGGTGTAACCTTTAGCAAGGCAGAGGGCTGACAGTTGAGGGCTATCTTCCAACAAGGCTCCCAGCAGGTGGATGAAGAAGTCATTCATTCCAAAGGGGCATCTCCTTACAACTTCCACCACAGTGCTCTAAACAGAAAAGGACAGTGGGGTCAGTCAGTACTTTGCTTTTTCACTCTAGTGTGCTCTGATTATTGGGGAGATGGTCCACAAACTTTTATGAAAATTTGTAATGAGCCAGTAAGATTTTAGTTATTTTGTGAGTTGTGTATCTTAGCCATATTCAATATTTACAATAGCCCAATCTTCAGGGCTGATATATTAATTACATTCACTTTACTTATAAATACTAGGATTTCTTAAAAGTTAGAGTTGTCGTGGAAAGGGCTTAATCACTAATAACTTGTCTTTTTTTCTAATTATTTTTTAATTCACCATATTATGGGAGTACAAATGTTTAGATTATATTTATTGCCTTTCCCTCCTTCCCCCCCTGGAGTCAGAGCTTCAAGCGTGTCCATCCCTTAAACAGTGCACATCACACTCATGATGTATGTATATACCCCTCCTCTCCTCCCCCCTCCCACCTGCCCGACACCCGATAAAGTTCATTCCTATAGCGCACTTAGGTATTGGATCAGCTTAATACCAATTTGCTGGTGAGTACATGTGGTGCTTATTTTTCCATTTTGGGATATGTCACTTAGTAGAATGGGTTCCAGCTCTATCCAGGAAAATACAAGAGGTGCTACATCACCATTGTCTAATGTTTTTTTTAACTCAGTGGCAAAACACCCCATGAGATGTTGCTAGGGGAGGTAGAACACACATTCATATACCACAACAGGACTCGGAAAATGCCACCAAAGATAGGATTTGAAATGCATCTGTCGTTATTTCCCAAGTTGAAATAGTCACCTTTCCAGTTTTTGAGAATAATATGCTTTGGGGGAAAGTAGTCTGTGGTAAAAAAATAACTCAGTAATTTCTGGATTCATGTTGTTTACTTATATGATAGCGGAACTATTTGACAGTTTAAACAGCCCATAATTGTGTGTGGATTGCCTAGCTTAGTAAAAATAAAGTGTAAGAGGATGGGAAGGGGGAGGAGGGGATGGGTTTATACATATATACTATGAAAAGTGTGATCGCACCCACCTGGGGGATTGGAATAGGCTTGAAGCTCTGAACTCCGGGAGAGGGCGGGAAAGGAGAAAGGCAAACACACGTAACCCTAACATTTGTACCCCCATAATATGCTGAAATAAAAAATAATAAAGTGTAAGAAAAGAAGCTTAGTAAGAATGTAAAAGTGAGTCAATGGCTGAAGATCTCTGTCGTTATGAGGAAAGCGCTCATGTCAGAGGAAGCCCGAGAGTGTTATTCACACACTGATAAGATGATGATGATCAACATTGTTGTTAATTTTGAAATATATTTTTAGTCAAATTTCTAATTGTGACGAACATTTTTAAAATGTACTTAACATGAGTCAAATGTTTACTGAGGGATCTACAGATATGAAACTGTTGAGAAGCATGACGTGATGGAAAGAAGAGTGGATGTTGGGTTCTAGTTTCATTTCTTCTACTGCAAGTCTCTGTGAGTTGGTCTTTGGTCTCATCCTTTACCTCTCTGGGACTAGGAAATTTCATCCTTAAAATATAGGAGTTTGTACTTCAGTTTCTCAACTGTAGGGCCAGAAAAGGCTTTGTGGAAGGGAGGGGCTGCCTGGTGCATTGCAGGGTGTTTAGCAGCATCCCAGCCTCTTCTACCTGCTAGAAGCCAATCACACCCATCCCACTCTCTCTGCACTACGAGGACCTCACATGTATTTAGGCATTGCCAAATATTTCCCAGGGGGCAAAATTACCTCCAGTTTGAGAATCACCAGTTTAGATAGTTCCCAAGGAAAAAAATCAGCTTTAAATTTCTATGAATTTTATGATCTCTTTCTGACAAGAATGGTTTGTGACTTTAGAAAACCAGGACTTGATGATAGTTTGGGAAATTCTCAATTTTTCCAGATGGTAGATGATGCTAAAATTAAGAAATTGCCTTCGAAAGCATAGTGTGGAGAACAAGCCAAGGATGTGACTGTAAAACATCTTACTGAAACCTTTTACTGAAACTCTGAGAGATCAAAAGATCAGAGTATTCAGTAACAAGAAATTAAGGGTCATAGGTGGTCTCAATCAAAGCAGAAGGCCCTAGGAAATTTAAGGGCAGTGTCTCTCTGCTATCTCAGTAGAAGCTGAAAACAGAAAAGAGATGATTTAGGAAGATCTGTGGATGAATCTCTTGTCTAACAGAGTGAACAACCATGAAATTCATGCCTACAATGTTCTTGAGAATCTCCCATCTAAGTACTAACCAGGCCCGACCCTGCTTAGCTTCCGAGATCAGACGAGATCCGGCGCATTCAGGGTGGTGTGGCCGTAGACTGTTCTTGAGAATCTTACATCGGTAGAAACACTACCAGGTTGGGCTGAAAGGCACAGCGAGATAACAAAGGCTCTTAGATCCAACATTCTCTTGACAAGAAGCAGACTAATAAAACTACTCAGCTGACATTTCCTGGTACCATTTTCACGAAGGAGCAGTGGATCTGAGATCAGCACCAAGAACATAAAGGCTGAAGTCCAGCACACAGATATTAGAGCTGAGAATCACAGAAAACTTGACACCTAAAGGAGTTTGTTCAGCCAGATTTCAAAACTGCTTTGTGCAGGTGACTAGTTTCCCTTTTAAGTTTACCCCTTTTTGAATCTGAATGTTTATAACTATTATCATATGCCTGTCTCACCACTGTATGTTGGGAGCAGACAACTTGTTTCTTTAGTTCCATAGATCCACAAATGGAGAAGAATTGTGGTCAGGAGCCTCAACTGTACTTGATTTAGATAACTGAGAAAATGAGATTTTTGGACTTTTGAGTTGATGAAATTTAGGTGAAATTTGACTTTGAATTGATACTAAAATGAGATGAGAACTTAGAAACCATGAGAAGGTATGAATGTAATTTGCTTTGGGGAGTGATATGACTCTTTGGAGGATGGGGGTGAACTGTGGTAGACAGTATTTCTAAAATCTGCCCTCCCCACCAACGTGTCCCACCCCAATCAATTAACTTTAGGATAGGAAGTGTATCCACATGGGTCTGATCTAATCATATTAGCTCTTAAAAACAGAAGAAAAAGGCAGAGACCCAAAACACAAGGAAGTGTCAATGTGCCATTGCTTGCTTGAAGGTGGAGGGGGCCACATGAGAAAGAATGTGGCTAACTTAAGGAGCTGTGAGGAGCTTCCAGCTGACGACTAGCAGAGAAATGAAGATCTTATGGAAGTGGATTCTGTCAGCTTGTATGAGCATAGAAGTGGATTCTTTCCCAAAACATCCAGATAAAAGCTCAGCTTGACTGATGTTGATTTTAACCTTGGTAATCCCCTCTCAACTTCTGACTCACAGAACTGTGAGCTCATATATGGGTGTTCCTTTAAGCTAAATTTGTGTTAATTTGTTATGCAGCAATAGAAAATGAATACATATGCTAAATGTAAATGAATTGCTGAAAGATACCATTTGAACAAAAAAATAGTAATAGCATATTAGAAGGTAGCAATGCAGTAGAAAAAATAACTTTTTGGAGCTTAAACACATGAATTCCCAAATAAACTATTCAGAGATGGATTGGAATAGAGCATGGTCATTGTTCAAATATAAAATAGTGATCTATAATATCAAAAGAAATAGATATCCTCACATAATTAAAAATGAATGAAAATAGTGAAAAAATACAGACCCACAACATAATCAATCAAGTTACAAACAAAAACAAAAAAAATCCCCAAACTAAAACAACACAAACATCATTATCTGATCACATTTCAATAACAATAAATAACAAAATAAAATCTTTCTCCTCCCATGAAATGAAAAAAACTCTATTATATAACTCTTTCATCAAAGAGAAATATAAACTTGAGTAGCAGAATTTTTAGAAAATAGTATTAATGAGAACATGGTATATCAGAATTGTTTGGGCAAAATTAAAACAGAGAGAATTCATAGCATTAATTAACTATCAAAAGAAGAAAAATAAAAGTAAATGAATTTAATATCCACTTTAAAGAACTAGAAAAGAACAACAAAGTAGACTGAAAGATAACAGAAGGAAGTAGTTTTGATAGTAAATATAACAGTAGATGTTAATGAGTTGGAGAAGAGAAAATCAGTGAAAAAATAAATAACCTGGTTCATTGAAAACATTTGAGAAGAGTGACAAACTACTAGAAAATCTAATAAAGAAAAAGAAAAAAATAAAGAAAAAGTTCAGAAAGAGAAAAACATAAAATAAGAAATGACAAGGGAATAAAAGCTATGAAATCATAAGAGAAAGAAAGAACAAAAGAAAGAGAAAAAAAGAAAGAACTAAAGAAGAAAGAAGAAATCATGAAAAATTATTTGTACAATTCAATGCAAACATATTTTAACACCTAGATGAATTGAATAATTTTGTAGTAAAATATAATCTATCCCAAATGACTCTAGTATAGATAGAAAGTCTAAACAAAATAGTTTTATTAGGGAAAAAATGTGCAAAGTTTTAAACAAACTCTGCCATAAAAAAGCACCAGGTTCAAATGGTTTTACAGAAAAAATTCTACCAAATCTTTATAAAGGAGGTAATCACAATGCTACCTAAGAGGTTGTAAATATACAGAAAGAAGGAACTCTTCCAAACTCTTTTTAAGAGACATGTACCTATATATTAATACTTGATAAAATTATGCAAAAAAACTAGTCTCACATGAGTATTAATACAAAAGTGTTTTAAAACATAAACAGATTCCAACAATACATTGAAAATATATATGCATCATTGCAAAGTGGGGTTTATTCCAAGAATGTAAGGATACTTCAATATTATAAAATCAATAAACTATAAATATAACTTTGAAATATAAATAATTCATTATATTAATATATCTTAAAAATAAGGATAATTGCCAGAGGTGTCTAAAAGACATTTCAAAAAATTCAACACCCATTCCTGATAAAATCAATGTATAGAACAGAAATTATAGATCTTTTTACTATGATTATATATATATTAATACATATGTAT